AATGTAAGTATGATATATTAGTACTTGAAAAAGAATTTTCTTAGCAAATCACCAATACATATCATTCGTTATCTCTTGGTAACAGATACGTAGACATCTGATAAGGAAAGAAAGTAAAAAAAAAAATTAAGATATATCGACAAGAAAACCGATATTTAAAACTGGCATATATTCAAATGGATCACGTCAGAGAGGAAGAAGAAGAAGAATTAATACAAAAATAAACCATACAAAAATATTTTACAGATTTTTGTATGGTTTAAAGATACATTGATTTATTTCTTGTTGTTTTATCAATAATTTATTAGACAGTTATTATTTTCTTCCATCAAAATTTCATCAATTTAGTTTCCTCCTCCACTTGACAACGTAAAAGTTATCTATTGATTTCCCCCCTCTTTCTCTCTGTCTCTCTCTTCCTCTCCGTTCTTTTAAAAACATAATCATAATAAAATTTTGATAAATGTATATAACTTCAGTTTAAAATATTACTAAAAGAATAACAGTTATGAAAAGTAGTTTACTGGTAAGAATTTTTGCATAAAGCTAACCAGTTCAACCGTCCATTAACTAATGGTTCTCTACAACTGATCAATAATGTAAGGGTCTAAGTCATTTACCATTATAGTATTCATCTCCCCTTTCTCTTTTGATACGTGTGAGAAACTAATGCATTCTACACTAAAACAGATCGCATCTCTTACATAAACTGATTTATTATAGAAAACATGGGAACTGATGAGTTTCTTGCATGTGTGAGAGTATCGATGAAGAAAGAAGAAGAAGAAAAGGATTGATCAGCAGTAACATCCGTATTGAAGTTGCTTTAAAATATATTGAAATCCTGGAATTTCTTCCTGTTATAAATTTTTGATGCCACGAGTATTTCCACTTAAAAAACTATGTGGAATTTCTATCTTATAACATATATTTATAGTAATCTAATATAAGTAATATCTTTATCATTTTACCTGATCTTTACGACTGGTTTTTCTTGTAAGGGATATTCAATTATCGTTTATTTTCTTATATATGACTTATCATGGATTATATAGAGCGATATTTAATACTAGAAACTTAGCGTAGTTAATCGGTTTTAGTTGTTTTTACTACTATTTCCATCTGCAGTTTTATTTCTTATGTTTTCTTTTATTAAACTTATCATTAAAAGAACTTTTTTTTTCTTAATTATTGTTAATTTTATTGATTTGTAACTCTTGAAATCGTAAGGAGTCATTTACATTAATTACTTCGTACCTACTTGAGTGGAAGGGGGACGAACTTATACTTAAACAATCTTGCTCTATAGTATAATTATAAAAAGTTCTGTGGTTTTCTCCAGTAGTCGTGGGTTCGCACCTCACTATCAGGCTGTTTTTTTCACGATAGTAACACCTAATTAAGGACAAATTTCCTTTATAACATCACCCACGTGTAAACGAATGAACCACACCACCCTTTTAAAAAAGAAATAAAACACAGGAAAAAATAAATATCTAAACTTTTTGCTTTATATTTAGCATGATTAGATTGTAAAATCTCCTAAAAATCACCACCTGTTGTGGCAGGAAATGTCTGGTATCGTTTTACAATACAGTAACTAAACACGCTTTGAGGTTAAAGTTTTTTTTTTTTTTCCTTCTGTTGGGTACAATGAACAGCAGCACCATTCATTCACTCAAATGGAAACTTTGTTCAAATAATTTCTTACTATACACAAATTTACAAAATTTGTTCTAATTTAATTACTCTTCTGTTTTAATATACAACTGTAAAGATAATTTGGAGCGTTAAACTCGTGTTGTATGTGATATTCATCGGAAATCAATCTTCTGTAGTATTACTATGTAAGTAGTCGTTGGCTTATGAAGTCTTTAAAATCTTCCTCTTGTTACTAAACCCAGTTTAAAGCTTAATAACTTCTGTTCCTTTCGTCAAAAATTTCTGAAATTTTGCAAGGAGGTTTGTGTATTAGGGGCATTGATGTTGTTAAATTTTGGTGGTTAAAGGTCAAGCGGGTGGGAAGATAGAGAGGGGAAAGTCGTGTGTCATATCTCGTGTAGGTTTCTGACTTAATTACCCTTAAAATTAACCTTTTTGCTATTTTATAACAATTAATATTGAAATATATTAAAAATAAAACCTAGTAGCAGATAGCAACATGCACAATTTTAACATTATTGCCTGGAAAGTCATGCAACTCGTTTTTTTTTAAATTTTATTATAAACCTGAAAGTAACAGATGATGTTTGTTTATTATTTATTTAAGCTATTCTAGTTATTTTGCTTTAAATCCCTACGAAATATTTAAATTCATTTCTATAAATGAAGTTTATTAAATTTTACCTGAAACTATACAATGTGTTTATGTAATTTATAACTCTAGATTAAGCTAAAATGCCTTTAGCAATGTAGGAGCAGTAACTGCTTTTACATGGTCCAACGAATTTTGAGATTTACGGTCGATGGCCACTCCTAAAATGACAATTGTACTCGAACTAAGTTGGAATTAAAATTTGCAAATTGAATAAAGTTTATAAATGTTAACAATAAGAGTATATACGTAGATATATTACATATAAAGTTTATATTAAAATGGATATTCATACTTATTATAGGGATTGATCAATAGTTTAATGGGATATAAGGAGTTTTAATGCCATACATAAGAGCAAAATACAATTTATCATTGTATATCTTCCGATGTAACGAACTGTATGATGACGCATCTGTTCGACATTTAATAGGGTCAAAACTTTCTCTGTTAGCTAATCAATTATGTAGAAAATTTCTTATAAATATTTTTCAATTAAGTAGGTTAATATGCGGAGTTTTCTATTCAGTACAGACTGATATTTAATCTGAAACATCTTTCCTTTCTTTTTTTATACAACAGAGAAAGTATGGCCCTACAATATTTCTACATTTTTGGACTCAGGGTACCTTCATACGTTGTGAAATGGGGGGTTTCTATATGTGAGGGCACGATCTTGTTCACCCTATTTGAAGCTTAATAACTCCTGTTTCTTTTGTCGAAAATCTCTGAAATTTTGTGTGGTGGTTCATGTATTAGGACCATTGATGCTATTAAATTTTAGTGGTTAAAGGTCAAGGAGAAGGGGAGATAGAGGGGGTGGTGGTGTTGTGTCGTATCTCGAGTTTAAGATTTTACTTGTTAAAACCTCATTTCTCCCTTAAAATTAAACTTTATGCTATTTAAAATAATTAATAATATAATATTTTATTTAAAGAAAAGATTTTCTTTTCTCATTTTTATTAAGTTATAATCAATTATCTTTAATAATCTATCGAATAAACGTGTCCATAAACCTTCTGTAACGAATATATTATGAAGCATTTGTTTGTTTATATTGTGTTATTGTTATTAAGGAGAATTTTGTCATTAAAATTTGACAATTTACTTTCGTAAGAGAATAAAATGGCTTAATTATTTGTAGATAAAAATATTGTTTTGTATTAAGAATTAAAAGCGTAATTAATTTTGTCATAATTTTAAGTTTGTGGAAATAATTTAAAACTTTTGTAAAATTATAAGCATTAGATAATTGAAACAAATCTTTATAATCAAGGTAGGAGCTATTACAAATCTCTGGTAACAATTACTAAAAGTTAAGAGTAAAGTGGAAATAACAATGGACAAACTCCACTGTAAATTCAAAGTAATCGTAATCATTTCAGTACAATTTTCGTCTCGAAATCTTTTAACTAATTGGTAAAACGACTTAATTATATTAAAATTTAATTTTATAAAATATGTAACACAGTAAAATCCTCTTACTATTATCATTAGTCTATCATCTGAATTAGCGTGTCGCTAAACATAAAATTTCTCTTATCTACGAGCAGACAGACAAGACACTTTTCGTGCTTTCAACTTCAATGTCTATTACAATTTTTATCAATTGTAAACTGTAGTTTAGTTACGCGATGGATGAATTACTGTTTGCTATACAGTTTTAATTGTTTCGTGCCAGTTTGCCACACTAGACGTCTAGTGTATAAACCACATAACACTAGTAGTTGGTGGCCAGTTCGCGCCTGACTAACCACGTGGAATTTTTCCGGGTTTTCTTCGCCTTAATAGGGGGAGGCCAGTTTCCCCATAGAATGACGTCCCTGTAGGCATCCACTCTTATCCTATCGAACGAAAAACCAAGCATAGAACCAATAAAAAAAAATCACAATTTCTATTAATTATATTCTTATTTACCGACACAGCTTAGTGTTATCAGTACAAGCAAACAAACACTTATAAACGGGGTGTTAATAAAGAGAAAATATGCATGAAATTTTTACGAAAAGGTCGAAAGACTCGTCTTGTAAACAAGAATTTGTGTTAAAGAATTATTCAGTGCTTTAATTAAATATATATTGAATAAAACTTGACTGATGCTCTGTTATTCTGTATACAAAATTTCAAATTTAAGTAGTAAAGAATTTGAAAAATCTTCTTTTAATAACACTTCTAATAATCGATTTATAAAGTAAAGATAATGAAAATTGAATGAAATCAATGGAGAACTGATGAGACTATTGTTCTCTAGCAACAAATGTAAACGTTTCTATCCATACGAAATTATAGGACAAGTACAGATTAATTACACAACTGACGTTCTCCATTATAAACTTAACAACATTCTTTATACATTATACAGTGTTTATTCTTTATTCTTACGTTAATAAAATGTACTGTATAAGCTTCTTTCGTGTGTATATAAAAAACAATACAAACGACGTTCCATAAGTTAGATAACCCTTTTATTTACTAACAAATATATTTGCGAGTGTCATTTGTATATTAAACTAGGATTTCAGGGTGGCCCAAAAATCAGTTAACCGCTGTAAATATTAAATTACTGAATGGTTAACAGACTTTTAGTCAATCTTGTATGTAAATAATTAATTAAGTAATCTGCTAAGTATTAGAATAAACTTAATTTAAAAACACTGATTTGTTTTTGTATATTTTACATTTAAAGGTATATACTCCTACTGATTTTAGAGTTTACACGACTACGTACGAAGTCAACGATTATCGTATCAACTTTACAATTTGGGATACTTCAGGTAAGCTATTTCGAGTTTATTTTAAAGGAGAATTTGCTTAAAAAGCAGCAAAATCTATACAAAAGAAAGGAAGGAAAACTGCCTTAAAATTACCTGTTTAAACCGGAAAAAAACCTGATAAAGCCCGATTCCGGCTTACACAGGTTTTACAGTATTAAAAAGTATTAGAAAGTTGTAGTAGAAGGATTAAAAAGAGATAAATTAAATATTTAATTTAGAAAAAAAACACCGATTAAATTAAAAAATCGTTATAAATACCATTTAAATGTAAAAAAAACGTAAAAAATTAATTGATTTTTCATCTCAAAACAAGAAAACAAGATAATTTTCCGTTATAAAAAAATTAAACATGGCCGTCAATTCACGTGATGAATTTTGACATTAAAAAAAAATTTACTTATCACGCCATCTATTATCATTAAAATTCATTTTTTTTTATTAACGAATAATATTTTTATTTTAATGATACGTTATTAAATTAAATTTAATTAAGGGAGAAGCCAGAGAGAGAGTATACATTAAAGTGAAATTTTATTATATACGCTGGTTTTAACAACCTACTATCTATACAACGTTAGAAACAAGGGTCGTAGATTGTCACATATCCGAATATGGAAATGATCGACTTCCGGTTCTGGTTAGGAACCACTTCCTTTGAGATGAGTCTCTCGAGAGAAATAGGAAACCAACTGCAAATTGGAAGCTCGATTGTTCCTTCACTTGTATACATTCTGTACAACCATTGGCTCGGTGGTTTTATTGTTCATCCAATCATACGCAGGAAGGAGTTTTATGGCTATTGTTTGCAATTTTAAAGCTTTTATGTAAATCCTTTAAAATATCCTCAACAATAAACAAGTTTTTTACTTCATATTTTGCTGATTATCTCCCTTTTTTTTTTTGTAGGTGCTTCTGCTTACGACAAAGTCCGACCTTTAACTTATCAAGATGCTAGAGTGTTACTGCTGTGTTTTCAGATTCCTTGTCCAAATTCATTAGAAAATATCGTGAATAAGGTAAGAAACTACTCTAGTAATAATGCTTTTACTTTACTTTTAGTACACGCTCACTTAAAAGAAGAATTTACTTTCTCTTCTGATGCTGCACCACTCGGAACTAGTCCACGCGTGAAGTAATTATTGTTGAAAAAGAAAAAAATCGTGTTCTAGACAATGATGAAGGCAGCAAAACACTTCTCTCTCTCTCTCTCTGGGTAGAGCATTAATTTTATTTTTCTCAATCTCGGAAACTATCTGGAACGAGTAGATTTACAAAAGACGGAGTGGGACTGTTAAAAGTTTCTGACGTAAACCCATTCAGTTTATTGTATCCACAGATCTACCACTTTAGTTAATGATGGAAAGTCCGATTGGAAAGTGACTGGTATTCCAATTTCTATACCTAAAGGTATCGTTGTAGACTAAACTAAAAAACATCAAAATAGATAAAAGAAGGTAAAGAAAACAATTGAAATTCCTAAACTTTGCAATTCAGTTGTGGAATACTTGAATACCTTTCATCTTTTATCATTTCATATTCGCATTGGTGCTTAAGAAAAAAAAAAAGAAAAAACGTTTATTTCTCTATTGATATGATTAATTCTTCTATTGAAATTCAAAATGATTCCTATTTAAACGTTTATATTTCAGATAAAATTTACATTAGAATAGTTTAATAAAAGAAAAACAATGGTGGATTAAGATATGGGCTTTCAGACAAAGAAGATTGTGGCTCTTGTAAACAATTTTACAACATGAACTAATAAATCTGTACATAATTCTACAGTTAAAATGATAAAATTCCTTTATCTTATCCAATTTTGGGGCTTCCAAAAAACAGGGAATGCCTAGGGTGTGTTTGCATAGTGGAAAATGTTCATAAAAATAATATTAATTTTGAAGAAAATAGATAAAAACTTTAGAAATTTTACTAATTAAATTAAGAAGTAANATATGATAAAAATGTTTCTAAATTATTTATTTTTCTGTTTACTTCCTGAAACTTTATTTACTTTATATTCAATTACATAAATTAACCCCCGCGATGTACGAGAAGAATAGAGATTAAAATTATGCGAAATTTTTCAGTGTTTTCGCAAGAAAAATACGTCATAATAGATGAAAAAATCACTTCAAAGATTACAAAAACATTTCAACAAATCACGTCGCGCTTTATACTTAATTTCTCAATTTCAACCAATCAACGTCGCGAACGTATGTCAATTTTTAAAATGCCTTAACTTTCGTTAATACAACGCGACTAAAAAATTACTTTTTTAAAGCATTTTATGCTGTTTAAATCTAAATAAACACCGGAAAAAAAAGCATAAAATAATTGGCATTAAGCGTGTATTCAATTTATCTCATAAGATACGTTTTGTAATCTTTATATAACGAGGGGAAAATAATAATAGAAGTAATAATAGAAATCAACTTTTTACCCCTGTATAATCAATAGTATTTCTTCCTGTTGTAAAATTTGCTGTTAGTTACTTTAGAAGGTTGAAAATTTTTAAGATTATTCAAGTAATAATACCACTAGTAAATTTAACAATTTAACGTATCGCGTGTATTAAATGTTTGAAACTTTCGATAGATTTGTTAAAATTATATAATATAAAATGTTTTAAAAAGGTAAATATTTTAGAAATTTTCTCTTTTAATTTATTTAGCGGTTAGTTCACACGTCATGGATAACTCCGGTAGAAGTTTAAATCGCTTTTGATTGATGGAGGTGTCACGATTTTGAGTATAATCTCAGAAATCTCCGAAAGGGTAACGTAAATGGAAATAAATTATCTAATTCACTTAAGATGCTGGTTGAAGAGAATTTTAACATGTTAATATAACAGTAAATTTTAATATATTTTCCAAAGTTCTAGATATTTATATACCATGAATAGAGAGCTAGAACTAACTCCCATGCTATATAAATGATACTAAGATATCTGACATTAACAATTTATGGTTTTTACATACTCTCCCTATTCATGCCTAGATAATATACAATAAATGATATACATCATACCTTATTTTGATAGACCTTAAGGTTATAAATTTTAATTAAATTCTTTTATTTGTCTTGTTTTATTTATATAAAACCCTTAAAATTCATGAATTATTCCAACAGTATCCTATATTGATTTGTTACCTGCGAACCAATGCAATTTAAAAGGTGTCTGTTCGGAAAACGGTTTAGTAGTCAATAAACAAAGGAAGGTAATTTTGTTTTTGGCTTCTCAATCTATTCTCTAACCTGTTTTTTTTTTTTTCTTTTATATCTTCTTCCACGCTGTCTTTTATTTTAAAATTCCTTAGAGGATAGAGGAATTATTTGGAAGAAGTTAAGTACTATAAATCTTAATTCAGATATATTTTTGTAAAAATAATGTTTGGTATTGAATTCTGTTCAATTGGAGGAGGTTGTTCCCTCTTTACTTATTTTCTTCTTTTCACTTTAAAGCTCTTTGTAACAATTTTCTTAAATTTAATGGACAATAGTCAGATTTTCCCATGGGAGGACAGGATAGGAAATTCAATGCCGAAGTTACATTTTATTTTTAGACGATTGATTTTGACTGAAATTTTTTCTTCTTTTTAATTTAATAGGAAGGTATTTATAGTACAAATATAAAGGATGAGTTTCTTATGTAAAAATCTTACATTCCACATATAAAAATTAGTCTGCAGATCTTTGTATAGATTGCTAGAGATGTCATCATTATTAGAGCATTTCTGCTTTGTTATGATGAAGTATGGAATTTATTCCTTAATATACTTTTTTTTACCAATCTGTAATGCTTATATTGTTCATTTATATAATAGTTCCTTCCTGGAATTGTTGAATATATGCTTACTTTAGCAATTTTAATGCTATTGAAAGAAGTTTATGCAAATATAACAATTCTTGTTATTAATATTTAAAAGATTCAGACATTAATAAAAACAGAGTTAAGATTTATTTACAGATGAGAAAATTGTTATTTACTTAACTCATCACTTTATTTCTTTGCCTTCTTATTCTCAGATACAAGTGATAGTAAACAACTAAAGAGGGTTAGTACGGTTGAGATTATTGGACTTGAAGAAAGTTTGGATCCAGTTGGGATTCTTAATCAAACTAAACTTTCTTTAATCTAGGAAAAGTTTTATTACTGATAAAAACTTCTTTCACTAGTAGAAGTAATCATCTAGTTATACCTAACAGAGTTATAAGCAGTTGATTGCTTCTACTAGTAATGAAAAGTGCTAAGTACTCTTCATCATAGTAATTAAGAATAACTAAAGATATTGCATGTCAGCATCTGTTTTGCATTATATCTCATTAAATGAAACAAACACTTGAAACTTAGCTAATTTATATCTATATATGGGGCATTGGTGCTATTAAATTTTGGTGTTTAGGAGTGTATATATCAACACTGAGTGAATCAAGAACCTTTAAAACTTAGCAAGTATTCATGTACGAGCCATTGATGTTATTAAATTTTAGTAGTTAAAGATCAATGGGGTAGAGGTCATTTGTAATATCAAGTTTATACAGAAGCTGAATTGAACTTTTGAATTAATTGAATTTTCTAACTCTAGAGAATATACATTTTCCTTTGTTTAACCTATAATTTCAGGTAAGTACATGAATATAATTACTGTCTTTCCATTGGTTACATCTTTATAAAGTACAGAAAAGCTATTAAATAAATTATTGATAATGACTGTTTAATTGAAATCTGTTTTATCTCCGCAACTATATTAAATAATAGCACCAGATCTTAATTACTATTACCGTATTATGAAGTAAATCTTTTCATATTTACCATTTACCAGATCAATTAGCAAAGGTGTATTTTACTTAAAAATAATTAGTTTAATGATGAACTTTTTCTTCCATTTAATATAATTACTTTTTCTCCTTTAGTTTAACACATTCTGGTTAAAATTATTAATTAATTTAAGCTGTGTTTTGCCTGTGATAAATAATAAGTTTCATCAGTTATATAGTCTCATACATTTAATAATTTATTTAAATGTAATATTTGATAAATAAAATATTCTAATCCAATTAACTTTTAAGTTAGATAGATGAAAGTATTAATAAGTAAATCGCTGAAAGGAAATCTAGTTTAAATATGGAAGTTATTAATAATTTAATAATGTTTGATTGAGTATTAATAATTTACATTTAAGATAAAATAGTAGAGAATATTAAAACTTTAGTTCTTAATCATTCGTTCAAATATTATTCATAAAATATTTGCTATAAAGAGGTGTTCAATTAACTCTTGAAAACACCACAATGATGTATTACCTGCGGGTTATCTGTGTTTAAAACGATAATTGAGAGGGGTGAGGCTACTTATATTCGGCTTTTAATCGAAATTACAAGAATTACTAGCTTAAAAAAGCAGCCATTACTCTAAAGGTGAGGATTATACGGAGGTTCTTGTAATTTTCTTCGTGAAAATGTATTGTAACACGTATATACGAACGTAAACAATAGAAGAATTGGGTAAAATAATCGAATAAAATGAGATAATTCGTAAAATCGGGGTAGTAAAAAGGCTGCAATGCCAAATTTATTGGCGCTTTACGATGGTGACTCTATTTGCAGGGGCGTTATATCGAGGTTTGTGTAAGTATACGTGTAATTTTCTATTATTTTTTAAAAGTTTAATAATGTGTTATTTTTAAAAGGTTTTATAATGTGTTATTTTTGAAAGTTTTTATAATGTGTTATTTTTAAAAGTATTAATAATGTTTTATTTTTGAAAGGTGTTATAATGTGTAATTTTTGCTATTTTTTATAATGTGTAATATTTGAAAGCTTATATCATGTGTTATTTTTTATAGNGACTTAAGTTCATGAGTTGAAATGGTAAATTGAATATAATAAATTCGTGAAAATGCTCCTTTGCAAAGGAATGTGATTTTAGTAAGCATAATGTTCAAAGTATGCTTTAACTAAGATTATGTGACTAATTAGTAGAGTATAAGGATTTTACCGAAGAGAACATAATGATACCGATTATTAATTATAATATATAGGGAAGGAGGGGGAGAGAATACAATTGCGTATCTGATAAACACAGACGTTTGGCACTCATTATTATTACCTTTTCTCTTTTGTTTACGCTTAGAAATAAACGATTTTTCCACATTTCTTTATACCTCCTCCCCCTTGTGTTTACTAGATTGTAAATTGCTACTGTATACCTACTTTTTTTTATACCCTCCCCTATATAATATATTGTGAATTAGAGCTGAGATTTTTCTAAATGGAATTGTTTATTCTCACTCCTGAACAATCGTCGAATTTCATTTATAATTATAATTGAATCTTTTACAGTGGTATCCCGAAATTAGACAGCACTGTCCAAACATTCCCGTAATACTTTGTGGTTGCCAGAGTGATTTAAGGAACGACACAGATGTTCTTCGTAATCTGTCCAAATTGAAGAAAACACCTGTCACTTCCGAACAGGTAAGACACGACATATTTACCTCAAGAATTTCCTCTTCTGCATCCATCTCTCTCTAGCTATTGTTTTCCCATTCTTACATAAACTTCCGTTAAGTTTAATTATATATTAAATTTATTAAATTTTCCATTTAATTTTACTTAAATACCATTTATATAATTGTATAAACCATCATTCTTTTAAGAAAAATAACGTAATAAATGATTTATAAGAGAAATTGAGGGGGGAGTATGTGTATGTGTGTGTGTGTGTTCTTTTAAAATCAATATCGTGGATACGGATACAGACACTTGTTCTTTTATCGATCGTATCAGCTAACATAAATATATGAGAAAGTTTAATATAGAAATTTCTGTAAACATAGTCTATCATCTGAGACAACGTTGATCAATTTTACGGGTGTATCAGTGACAATCATTGTCATTAATCGGTGGATATTTACTCGTTAGTTGCGTGTTGTCAAAATCTCTTTGTGTTCCTCCTTAATTGTGACACTGTATTTAATTTTTAAGTTAATTAATATTATGGAAATTTATCTATCTTTACGTAAAATTTTACAACATTTAAATAAAAATATCTAGTCAAAGTAACTGTTAACTACGAGCAACTACATGAGGAGTTACTAATCCTGATCTTATACGTAAATTTTCAGCAAATTCTTTAAGAAATCTGTATAAAGTTCTCATTAAAATGTATTTTATTCAATATTTATTTAAATATTTTTCGATTTTTCTTAGAAAACTAAACAATTTACTTTAACGTCATAGAGAATTTCATTGATTTGGATCTAATAATATCATCTGGTAAACACGAAAAGACAAGATAAAGAGAACTGAATTGCCTTTTCTTGTACTTCCTAACAAGAAAATTAATAGGGAAGTATAATCTAATGATTATGGAGAAATAAGGGTGGAAAAAAACGAGATTTTGGCAGCTAACAATGAAGTTATTACGGTTTTTTTTTTACATGTGTTTCGTGTATAGATGCAATTTCTCTGCAGGGATTTTTCTTATATACGATAGTTTTCAAGCGGAATGAAGTCTTTCGTATAAATTCAATTTATTCACTTACAAAAGTCGAATTTTTTAAAGGATTTTAATATAAAAGTTTTATGCAAAAATCTAGTAACAGTAATTAGAAGAATTCCTGTATTGAATTAAATGACAGTCCTTGAAAGTTATCTATGCTTTAAACACGTAGAATTTCGAAATTTAATCATGATTCTTATGATGCAACATGGAAATTTTTCTAATCCTTGATACCAATAACATTTTTTTCTTGTTTCATGTACAATGATATCGCATATTGAATAACTGTGAACACAGAAAATACATTAAAGTTTAATACAAGAGAAAGGACAGACCATATCTTTCAGTGTGTTTACACATATTGACATACAATATCAGTCAAAACTTTCAACGTTACTAGCTAAAGCGATAAATTTTAGTTTCTACGTTGCAAAAGAATAGATTTTGCATGCACCAATAAAATGGGTAATGCATAAATTCTTGTTATGAACATAACATAAAATGTTTAAACTGTTTTATTATGGTCTGCGCTTACCCATACAGTACAATGGGAAACTTGGATTATGGGTACTTCAGATGTATTTGTTAGAATCCATTGATGTTTATAAACCATTAAACGTAGCATAATCCTCACGTCTTGAAGTAGCTGTTGCATCATACATGTTGGTTTTTTTTCTATACGTATGGATGTTAGTGTGTGTGGGGGTAACGACTTTTATTCACCCACTTTAAACCTTAATAACTCATATGCCCTTGGTCGAAAATTTCTGAAATTTTGCAAGGTGGTTTATACGTTAGAGTGATTTATACTGTTAAATTTTCGTGTTTAAAGGTCAAGAGAGTGGGGAGATAGAGGAAGTTACGTGTTCTATCTCGAGTGGGGACAGAATAAACGTTATTAGCATTTACAAATTTTTAGAAAATCTGGATATATATACAAATAGATTTCTTATAATCATAAGAAATAAGTGAAATAACAAATAAATTTGGTAAAGTTCCGAACACTTACAGTAATATTTTCATTGGGTAATAAGTTACGACCACATCACTATAACTTGGAAGATATATGCATTGATTGCTTATAACATTATGAGTTGATCGTCCATATTTCAGTACGATAACGGCCCAAACACACCCATAATCTGAACATAAATTCGTCCAATTGGCCCGAAGCCAATAATATCAATATTCTACTCTGGCCATTTGGCTTACAATATCCTTATCCGAATTTATCTTTCTTATCCAAAATACGTTTGGAAAATGATCCTACTGCTAAGAAGACGTATCTTGACTTAAGTTCATGAGTTGAAATGGTAAATTGAATATAATAAATTCGTGAAAATGCTCCTTTGCAAAGGAATGTGATTTTAGTAAGCATAATGTTGCAAGGGTGGACGAAAAGTAGGAAGGAACGATTTTATCTCGTAATGATTAGAATTTCGTTGATTTATAACACCCTTTTACTTACTCTACTGTTACATATAACAGACGGAGATTATAGCAATTACCCCACAACAGTTTCACATTATTTCAACTGTACAGACCCTGAAACACGACCTAATAGAAACAAATTTTGGAGGGTTCACCCAATTTGAAGCATTATAACTCCCGTGCCTTTTGTCGAAAATATATGAAATTTTGCAGAGAGGTTTTCGTATTAAAGGTATTAATTCTGTTAAATTTTGATAGTTAAAGGTCAAAGGTGTGAGAAGATAGAGGGGGGATAACGTGTTCCTCTAAAGGGTGTCAGGTAGATGACTCTATTGTTAAAGGAAAAGTATGATCTACAGGGTCGATAACTTAGTAATTTCAGGTGGATAGCATATATTTTAAATCGAAAAAATTAAAAATATGATTAAAAAATTGCAGCCTGGTATTGTGACGATGTTTGTATATTGTATATTAAACTCTTACTTTTATTTTTCATTCATGGTATCCATGTAATTCCTGTCAATATTATGTTAGCTGATAGGAAACTAAACAGCAACAAATTGAATATATTCAAATAACAGTTTAAATATTTACTTAAATTTCCTTTATTTGAATAACATATACCAAGTTTTCTTATAACAATATGAAAGTAACTTAAAATTAAAATTAAATATAAGTAATATTTTATTCTATCTGTAAGTTTCTATTGCTTTGTTTCTCATTATACATTTCTTTTTCATCAGTTCCTTATTTATTTATTTACTTTCTTTATTCAAAATTTGCACTTCTTTATATTAAAAAAAAAAAACGTTTTAAAGTTGTAAAATATATTTCTAAAGGTGAGAAATATAAATTTGTTAAACTTAAATAAATAATATATGATAAAAATGTTTCTAAATTATTTATTTTTCTGTTTACTTCCTGAAACTTTATTTACTTTATATTCAATTACATAAATTAACCCCCGCGATGTACGAGAAGAATAGAGATTAAAATTATGCGAAATTTTTCAGTGTTTTCGCAAGAAAAATACGTCATAATAGATGAAAAAATCACTTCAAAGATTACAAAAACATTTCAACAAATCACGTCGCGCTTTATACTTAATTTCTCAATTTCAACCAATCAACGTCGCGAACGTATGTCAATTTTTAAAATGCCTTAACTTTCGTTAATACAACGCGACTAAAAAATTACTTTTTTAAAGCATTTTATGCTGTTTAAATCTAAATAAACACCGGAAAAAAAAGCATAAAATAATTGGCATTAAGCGTGTATTCAATTTATCTCATAAGATACGTTTTGTAATCTTTATATAACGAGGGGAAAATAATAATAGAAGTAATAATAGAAATCAACTTTTTACCCCTGTATAATCAATAGTATTTCCTCCTGTTGTAAAATTTGCTGTTAGTTACTTTAGAAGGTTGAAAATTTTTAAGATTATTCAAGTAATAATACCACTAGTAAATTTAACAATTTAACGTATCGCGTGTATTAAATGTTTGAAACTTTCGATAGATTTGTTAAAATTATATAATATAAAATGTTTTAAAAAGGTAAATATTTTAGAAATTTTCTCTTTTAATTTATTTAGCGGTTAGTTCACACGTCATGGATAACTCCGGTAGAAGTTTAAATCGCTTTTGATTGATGGAGGTGTCACGATTTTGAGTATAATCTCAGAAATCTCCGAAAGGGTAACGTAAATGGAAATAAATTATCTAATCTTCTGTTACGCCGTTGTTTAGGATCGAGTTTTCACTGGAAGTTTCTAAATTCTATTAACGAGCAGGCAGAAGTTGTTAAAGTGATTTGTACTCTGATGACAACTTGATAAAGTGGATAGATGCTGCGCTTTTTCAACCCCCCTTTTTCTTTTTATCTATCCTTTGGGAGTGTATAGTATTTAGTTACAATATAAAAAAAAAAGAAAATATATTATAAAAATAGCTAGAAATTAATAGGATATATATATAAAATTTATAAGAGAAAAGTTTTGATATATTAGGGGGTTGAACTTAACTCAAGTGTAGGAAGAGTGAGGAAAGAATATAAGTAAACATTAGTATACGAAATTTAATATTATAAAATGTTTTTTAAAATTATTATTTCTTTAAATAAATACAAAATTATTCGAAGATATGATAGAAGTTTTTGTTAAGAAGAAAAGATATTAAATTTATTAAATAGAATCCACAATTGAAGATGATAAATAACGTTTTCTTCGGTTAGATACAGTATATATTATACTTAAACTTATTAAAATCTGTGTTAAAGGTCGACAGATAATTGATAATTAATCAATTATATTGAATGTATAATATATAATAATACACGTCTTAATTTTTTTTTTAACTTACAGAAAATTTAAATATCTTTACCAGTTATCTTGATCTTATCGAAAAATTAATTATAACGCTATTTATACTTCACTTATCTCACAAAATGGATTGTTACTTCATGAATTTTCTGAAATTTTCTGACTCTGCAAAACTCGAGATAAATTTAACGTTGTGTAGCATTTAGAAGAAATGTATTTTTCCACCTCCTCCTCCTCCTCTTCCTCCTCATCCTCCTCCTTCTTCTTCTTCTTCTTCCCCCTCCCTCAAAACCTTGGCTAAATTATACCTGATAATAATTCATAAGAAGAAAGAAGAAACTGTAGATAAGAAGTGAAAAAAAAAACCTTAGAATTATTCATGAGTATGGGTTTGAGTTTTACTTCCTACTCTGACATATTTTAAAGGTAGCTCCGTGGCACAACATGAAACATTTTTCAAACGATTTGGCGGTTTCTCATATAGGAAAACGTATGAAAAACCAACATTAAATTTGATTTTTCATACAATTTGAAAAAGAAAATTAAATTAAAAAAATAAAAAATAAAAATATGTCACTAATATCACGACATTTATCTTCCCCACCCTTTTTTTTGTTTCGATAAATTAAGAACTTTGGGGGTGATCAATACTGATGAATAAGGGAGAGGATTCAAGAGGATAATTCTTTAATACTACATAATCCTTTGAAATAAGAAAGGACTTTAATTCTTCTATAATCCTTTCGAAATTGTTTTTTTATTTTAAAGTTTACATATAAGGAACGATCTAAAAAAACAAATAAAAATTATTCGACTTTCCTGTAAACAAAATTAGACTTTACTCATGAAATTTCCTTTGTTCTTTTGATTTTCTTCTATTGAAATTTCAATTTTCTTAGCCTTTTTTTTTTTTAACAATTCTTCTTGTTATTCCAGGCATTAGCAGCATCTAGGCAGATAAGTGCAACGACATATGTGGAAACAACAACAAAACATTGTGGAAAAACAGTCAAAGATGCCTTCGAAGTAATTGCTTTAGCATCTCTGGGAAAACTAAATAAAAATCACGTAACTGTACAACGTCATCGAAGCTTGATGAAGAGAAAATACAAAAGCAAAATAGACCTGAAAGAAGAATTAAGAGATAAAGCAAGGAACTGCACGCTTATGTGACCATAATCATGAATTTTTTTTTTTAAAGAATTTATAGTTTTTTCAGAGACTGGTTCGATTTTTTATCTATTTAATATAAACAAAAATATATATATATATATATATATATATATATATTAAGAAAATGAACAAGAATCGTTATCAGTGATTTAAGAAAATAAATAAAAGATATTCCAACATGTGAAGCTGATATTACAACGTTAACTATCATATTTCATGTTATGTATATAGATTTAAACGTTAATGAACGTTACCTGAACAATTAAATAAAAACAATAAATATGTTTACGGTTAATATCTCCAGTTTGTAATGTACAAATTCAATATTGAAATCCAATTTTAGATCAATATCGATGTTTTAAATTTCAGCAGAAATGTTGTTAAAACAGTCGACATTTTAGTCGATTTATATTGTTAAAATTTATTTGTTTTTTTTTTAACAGAAAAAGAAGAGAAAACAATTCTTTTCCTCATCCTCCTCTGTATATTTTAATTAATTTTTATTACTTTAAAATATAATTATTTAAAAAATAAATATTCTGCAGTAAATTAATTAATCGACTGTCACAAAAAAGAGTGGCCTTCTCTTAAGTCTTTCTATACTTGAAAACTCTACAGTAAAATGTTTACATGTTAAATCATGTAAAGGTTTATCGTTGATGATTAGGATGACGATGGGCAATGAGGAATTTTTATATAAAGGTTGCCTTAATTCATATTTACATTTAATTATTCTTTATTTCTACAAAATATGAATATATATATATAGAGAAAGAGAAAAAAAATTTAATTTATTAACAATACAACATATATATATATATATAGTAGCTAATTGTATATGAGTAGAAAGACCTTTTCTTAATTTATAAATTAAATTGTTTTTTTTTCTATAAATCATTCTCCTGTGAATAATGAATATGTAGAATATTAAAAAAGAGAATTTTTGTATAATAATTTACTATTATTTTTCTTGTTTATGTACAGTTTTTTTAAGAGAATAATGTAAAAGAATATAAGAAAATACAATAGGAGAAAGAATGAATGTGTGAATTTTGGGAATGAATATCAATAAATTATTTATCCCAACATATCATAGTGTGTTGGAATAATAATAATAAAAAAAAAAATTATATTTAAACAATTGTTTACATTTATTTTTTTTTAAATAATTCTTTTAAAAAATGGAGGAAAAAAAATTTTTTTATAGGATTGGTTTGGCATTTTTCTCTTAAAATAAGTCTTGTATTCCCTGTTGTGGTTTGTGTTTTCTAGTTTAACAAAGACCATTGTACGGGACTAAAAACTTGGTGTGTAGTGTTTGGTGTGGTTCAATTGGACGATGTCTGGAAGAGATTACACCGTTTAGGTCAGATTCAATTCGACGTCTTACTTCTGCAGATTGAGAAGAAAAAAGCGCATGCCCTATGTAATATATCTTCTTTCTTAAGAGATAGTTGTTAAGCTTGATGTGATTCAATTTCGTTTTTTTGTCTCATATCTCTGTAGATATACCCTCCTCCCAACGTTATCATAACAATATCTTGTACTGTTCCAATTTAAACACCGTGTTCGATAGAGTAATACACTATTAAAAATATTAAACAATATCCTTTTAGATTTTATCATGATCTACTGTTGAAATTGGATATGTTTATAATACTCTGATACTTTTCTTCTTGTCTTGTACAATTTTTAGAAAGTCTCTTGTCATATCACAGATTTCACTTGCTAGACGATGTGATAGATCGAATATGTTGTTATTCTTGTCAAAATAAGGAGTGTAAGAATATTTTCTTGCCTCCAGGTTGTTTATATATATATGGAGGGATGGTTATAGATAGTAGCTGTAAGGAAGGAAAGTCTCAATGAATTCTTATAGAAGTATATAAAATATAATTAAGGAGTTATTGGAGAAAAATTTGGAGTATAATATAATTTATTTATTATTAAACTCGACTCGATCGTTTTAAAAACACGAAAAACAATAGAAATGCACGTCGTAAAGAAGACAAAATTTACCTTATAACGATCGAAACACAATCGTCGCTCTTTTATAAAACTGAAAACTTCATGCCATAAAGGGTAATTTTTATCTTCAGAAATGATAGATAATAAAAATAATTAGAAGAAAAATAACAAGAAAATTTTTCTTCCTCAAAGATTATCGTAATGTACTGTACTTAAAGGCATTAAGCTTTATCACATTATAAAAGTTTATCGTGCGAATGCGGTCGAAAATAAACATCTCTTTATTTATAATCCTAAAACATAATTACACAAGAGGATAATAACTTAAAAATAATAATCCCGTTAGCAGGGAAATATTTTGAAAAATGTTTCCAATGAAACTAGCAACGACACAAATGTCTTGTTTTCTAACAATCGAGAAGAATGAGTTGTTTACAACCATAAACGATCATCGGGAATATCATCTAAAACTGTATTCAATATATATATGTATATAAACGAAATTGTTATGAAAGACTATGACAAATGTCTAGTTTTCTCTCATAAGAACAGGTTATTATCATTATACTTATCCTAGTATCATTATGTAAATATTTATTACATGAAACAATGTTTACGTTTGGAATTTTTACTACAATTTTATACTGTTTATGCTCTAGACATTCAATAGTTTACAAAGAGTTCTTTCCTTCTTTTTTTATTTTTATTTTTATTTCTGAATTTTCTCGACTGTCATATATTTTTCTGTAAGGTCTGTTCTTTTATCCTCTCCTTCTTTTATTTTTTTTATAGCAGCAGAGACGACTTATCTTTCCTCCTTTCATTTATTATACTTATATACAGTATATGAAAAATGAATATATAAAATTGAATCTTCACCCCTTTTTTTTTCTTTAAAAAAAAGCCCAAACTTTATGTAAATTATTTTTAAAAAATTCTAAATCTAAATATTATTTGTAAAGTGGATTATTTATCCTTGTTGATTTTCATTCGCTCATGAATCACTCTTGAAAATAACATTTGTAATTCACTTGATATATTCCCAATGCGATAGAATTGCATATCCAGATTGATATTGTAAAAGTCCTCCCCTAATATTACAAATTTCATGAATTTCTGAAATATATCTTTCTAAAACTTTAAAATAAAAGTTACGTCGAGTTTCCTACGCTGAATTCTCTAACGATAATTACTATTATATTATTGGTATTATTAAAATAAGTAAAATTAATTAAATGGTCGTTGGCAGGACGATACAGAAAATTATAGGATGTAGAAAATAGTTTTAGAAACATGCCTGGGATTATTAATGAAACTAAGAATCAAACGTTTGCTGTTATTACTGCTGTAGTATTTGATTGCCTTCAGTAGTATTATTTCTCCTTAGAGTCATCTCATAACTCCACGCTAGAATTCTTCTTACTCCCATGATGGCTTACCAAGTTACTAATGTTTGTTGTTTATAAAGTTTCCTAATGTCATAAAAGAGCACAGAGAAGAGATATCTGTAATGATTATTTTATGTTTTTCTTTGTTGAAATGGAGAATAACATGCCTTACTTTTGAAGAGATTACAATGGTCAAATAATTCATAAACATCAATTTTCTAGCTGCTTATCGTTATTGTATGCTTGTGCATGGATGTACAGTACGTACTCACTCGAAATTATTTAAATATGCTATTAGCACTGTCATTAGGCACCCTTTCAATCAAAGCCTAGTGGATAAAACTACTGACAGTTGGTCGTGGGTACGCTCCTTACCACCACGTGTTCCGGGTTTCACGTGTTTAACATCTAAACAGAAGCCAGTTTATCATAGAAAGTCCTCTGGGAGACCATCACCGCTGGCGGATCGCCCAAGTGTGTTGTCTTATTTCATTAATCTAATCCAATTCATTCATTCGGTGTTAAATTATTTGGTTCATCCGAAATTATAGGAATGATCAAAATTGTTGAAGAATTCACCAGAGAACTAATGGATCGTTGATTATTTAATTGTTGGAGGAATATTTAACCATAAATAACTACGCACCAGTAACATAAAAATCATAACTAGCCATTCATAATGGTTTTGTAAACCACAAAAAGGAACATCCAGCATATTCATTCAAACTATTCAGATTTTCTCTTCCAAAATCAAACTTTAGAGTATTAATCTGATGCAATTTCCATTGTAGAAAGTATCCATTTATTCGAAAATATTGTAATGCTCAATAATTAAAACAATATTAAAGCTTATAGCCTTCCAGAAAATCAGTGAACTTAACTATTCAATTTATTCACTATAATCTCTCACTTATTCTGTCATTGCATGAAATATCACACACACTCAGAGCACATTGGAACATTCAATAATTCACAACATCGAAGAGCTCAATAACTTAAACTATTGATGAACATTTACTCTCAACAATGTAATAGAACATTTAATGCATCTGTTTGAAATGCCAGTGCTTTAATATTTCAATTGTTTGAATTATGTTTTAATGCTTCTGTTGTTTGAAATGCGAGTGATTTAATGCTTCTGTTGTTTGGAATGGAGTAATTTAATGTTTCTGTTGTTTGGAATGCGAGTAATTTAATGCTTCTGTTGTTCGGAATGCGAGTAATTTAATGCTTCTGTTGTTTGGAATGCGAGTAATTTAATGCTTCTGTTGTTTGGAATGCGAGTAATTTAATGCTTCTGTTGTTTGGAATGCGAGTAATTTAATGCTTCTGTTGTTTGGAATGCGAGTAATTTAATGCTTCTGTTGTTTGGAATGCGAGTAATTTAATGCTTCTGTTGTTTGGAATGCGAGTAATTTAATGCTTCTGTTGTTTGGAATGCGAGTAATTTAATGCTTCTGTTGTTTGGAATGCGAGTAATTTAATGCTTCTGTTGTTTGGAATGCGAGTAATTTAATGCTTCTGTTGTTTGGAATGCGAGTAATTTAATGCTTCTGTTGTTTGGAATGCGAGTAATTTAATGCTTCTGTTGTTTGGAATGCGAGTAATTTAATGCTTCTGTTGTTTGGAATGCGAGTAATTTAATGCTTCTGTTGTTTGGAATGCGAGTAATTTAATGCTTCTGTTGTTTGGAATGCGAGTAATTTAATGCTTCTGTTGTTTGGAATGCGAGTAATTTAATGCTTCTGTTGTTTGGAATGCGAGTAATTTAATGCTTCTGTTGTTTGGAATGCGAGTAATTTAATGCTTCTGTTGTTTGGAATGCGAGTAATTTAATGCTTCTGTTGTTTGGAATGCGAGTAATTTAATGCTTCTGTTGTTTGGAATGCGAGTAATTTAATGCTTCTGTTGTTTGGAATGCGAGTAATTTAATGCTTCTGTTGTTTGGAATGCGAGTAATTTAATGCTTCTGTTGTTTGGAATGCGAGTAATTTAATGCTTCTGTTGTTTGGAATGCGAGTAATTTAATGCTTCTGTTGTTTGGAATGCGAGTAATTTAATGCTTCTGTTGTTTGGAATGCGAGTAATTTAATGCTTCTGTTGTTTGGAATGCGAGTAATTTAATGCTTCTGTTGTTTGGAATGCGAGTAATTTAATGCTTCTGTTGTTTGGAATGCGAGTAATTTAATGCTTCTGTTGTTTGGAATGGAGTAATTTAATGCTTCTGTTGCTTGGAATGCGAGTAATTTAATGCTTCTGTTGTTTGGAATGGGAGTAATTTAATGCTTCTGTTGTTTGGAATGCGAGTAATTTAATGCTTCTGTTGTTTGGAATGCGAGTGATTTAATGCTTCTGTTGTTTGGAATGGAGTAATTTAATGTTTCTGTTGTTTGGAATGCGAGTAATTTAATGCTTCTGTTGTTCGGAATGCGAGTAATTTAATGCTTCTGTTGTTTGGAATGGAGTAATTTAATGTTTCTGTTGTTTGGAATGCAAGTAGTTTAATGCTTCTGTTGTTCGGAATGTGTACTTTAATGCGTATTTTAAATTGCTTAAAGAAAAAAATATATTAGACGAGTCATATAAACTATAGAAACATTCAATAGCTATTAGAGCAATATCTTCGAATGGTTACGATAAGAGCAAACATATCACATATAATATATATTTAAAAAATTCTATTAAAATATATATTTTATTTTTCTTTTTATCTGAAATGAGAAAACTGGTTTAGGATTACATTTCGGTGAATACTTGCA